CAAATACACATCCAACTCTCTGGCCTAAAATGGAATTGCGGCCTAAAGTCGCATGGTTTTTTACAGCCAAAGTATGGCTTTCGGAAAGGTGGAAAGGCATTCTGCACTCGCTCAGACGAATATGGGCATAGACTGCTGGTGCTTGTCACACGGTTTTCTGCTCTGTTAGGCGACGAAGCGTGCAGACTTCTGGTGATTTTTGACGTTTTTTGCTTCTTGAAGGCCAAATGTGAATGCATTTCTAGAGATTTGTTTCCGCTAGATGAGAGTCAACCCTGGAGCACTCATCAAGACGGCGTAAATTACAGCCCCAAAAAAGCCAAGTCTTTTTAGCTCAAATATAGCTACACTGCCAGCCGACCCTACGCGGCAGCAAGAACTTTTTTCTGTAGCCCAATTTGGCTATATACATACCTGCCAAGTTCAAGGCTTCTGAATCCGGGATATTTCAGCAACGGGGAGGAGGGGTGGCACAAAAAAACAAGGACATACAAACAAATAAAAATCGTCGTGAAAAACAAAAGGCGGTAAAAGGGGGGTCTCAATCGCAAGTGCCAACATCAGCGTTGCGGTCTTATAGTGGCTAGGAGTGGCCGAACACACGAGGATAGAGTATTTCACTAAAATGAGAGTCTCAAAGAATCAACACAACTAGCAGAATCTATTTCAGCCAAAACAACTCGCGTGTGTCTTCCTGGGACACACAAGAACAGACGGGACGGCGCAGCTGGCTGTCACAAAAGCGCGGGTCAAAGCTTTGCTCACTCCTAAGATTCTTTTGACAGGAACGCCAAAACGCGACTGGCCCTTTTTTATTGCGATAGAAATTATATGGCCAGTCCAGGCTTTTTTTTTTTTTTTTTTTTTGCCGTCTTCACTGCCGCCGTCCATCACCATATATGTATACGTATCTATATATATGAACACTCAAAGAAAAAAAGCCGCCTTCGCTAAGCGCCGAGCTCGTCACTATCTCTCACGTGTACTTTGCCCCACGGATAGATGCCTGTGCGTGAGCGCTTGCGCTTATCCTTTGGTGGGGGAATCGTGTGCCTTCAGCTTTCATTGAAACGAAAGCGTTAGTTGCCGGCCCCACAAAGGCCACTTTGGTCTCTGCATAGGCCCCCTTTTGCAAAAACAGCGCGCTTTTCATACACAGCGAGGTATAAAAACAGGGACACTTGTTAGTTTGTACTCATCTGTACCTGTGATTACGTATCACGCATCGTTTGTTTAAACAGCGTGTTACATGTCGAGCGGTAAAGGTTGTTAGTTCACTCTCGTCCTGCGAGTATCGTTTTCATGCGTCATTTGTATGTGAGCAGCGCGCTGCACGTTTCGATCTGTTTGCCGTTTTCAGCATTGCATTTCAAGTTGTTGCTGTCGCATTTATTGCTTCGCCCTTGCGGCGAAACTGTAGCTTTTTTTTATTTCTTACGTATTTACCGCCTTTGACCTACCGCTGCATGTCCTCGGGGCTCGTAGATCGCTATCGCGTTGCCGTAACCGCGGTTTTGTGTGCGCCGGTTGCGTTAAATGGTAGTTCATTTTATAATCCCCCAAGGGCTTGGCTGTGCACGCGCCTTCAAAACTTCTAAGCAGCGTTGCTTTGACTGGTTGAGTGCATACTTTCGCGGTTCTGTCAGTTACGCCGTCGCCATACATGATTGTGTCAAGAGCTACCGCGGTTTCGTCCACAGCAGTTGTGGCAACGACAATCACACGCACTGTAGAAGACAGTGCGTGCGTCGGTTGCACACGTACTTCTGAAGATTCGAGTACGCTGCTCTCGGTCTTCTTTCGATGATTTCCGTACTAAATTTCGTATCACCTGCCGCGACTAGGAAGTGTGCTCGGAACATTCGAATTGAGGCCCCATGAACATAGTAAAATTTGGCTGGCGAATTTGAAGAATTTGTATCTGCCACAGTTTCGCATCACTGAGATTCTACTGTATGTTTAGATGAACGCCTCTTAAACACATTCATAATTAAATGGAGTAGGTTCGAAAAGCCTGGAGTGGATTGAGCTGCTTTTTTGTCAATGCGGCCAGATCACGCACAGAAATTTCTATTTCCGGGAGATTTTCATGACAACTGTACAACCGGAAAAAACGGTCGAAATCCGGGTCTCCCGGCCAATCTGGAACCCTTGGCAGGTATGTATATATATAGCCAAACCTGGCAACACTGCCACAATCTCCGCTATGCCGGCACAGAGCTGAAGAGGAGAAGATCAGACGCGCAGCTGGATCAACGAGTTCTACGGGAGAGGGCAGGCGGACTGGCGCGCACGCTCACACGAGTTGCTGGCGGGCGAGTCCATTAGTTCCTGAGGAAAGGGGAGGCAGGGAGGCTAGCACCCACGACTTTTGAATTACCGCAACCGTGATGAGCCGTAAACTGTCGCGTGCTATAAGATATCGAATAAACGTATACCACATCGATCAATACATGCTCGTTGTGAACGAATGTCACGGACGGCCAATTTTGGCCACCCGGCGTCACAGCAATTAACGGGCGCCGTACTTCCCCACTGATTGTGGGAACGGCGGGCGCATGAAAGGGAGCCGAGAAGTGCAGAATGGGGTGCTCTTCTTAGAACGTCGCCGCCGACGTTTGATCCTTTTGTAACTGCGGCGGCGTCTGCAAGGTCGTGAAAGGCCGCGATGTAACCCGAACAAGGATTAGGCTACGGGACGCACCGGCTGAGAGCCAAACAGTCTGACCGTTTCCCACGGGGGAAAAGCGTGGGAAAACCTCTGGTGGCCAAGCCGTATGACAACATCCCAACAGGCTGTCACTCTCGCTAGTTGAGGGCCCTCTCCTAATTAAAAAGGGGTGGGGTCAATATATTTTGGGGACGGAGTTTCCATCAATTAAACACGCATGATTGGACCCATGTAGAGGTCTCTTGTCCCCAAGAAAGAGAGCGAGGAGACACGAGGGTAATTTAAGAACAGGATTTCGCCCTGCTAGGCAGACTAGTCGCTGACCAACATGGTGTAGAAACAGATCAACAAGCATCTCTTCTAGAAGTTTTTAGTGTGGCTCATTATCGGCTGGCCACCTAAACTTAGCCGTTCATCTAGTTGTGACGCGATATTAACGTCTGCAACGTAGACATCGGGACTTCGCCTCGAGTTAGCTCAACCTGCCCGAAGTCACCTGCAAGCACTAGCCTCCCGGAGCCACCAGCATTGCAACACCGCCGACATCGCAGTCGTGCCAGAACTCTCTTCGACTTCTCGCATCCGATCGTCGGGGACGCAACGCTGCCGGTCATCACACGTATGCCTTCCCCTGTTTATATCTTCGAACTTTCTCCTCCGTAGTTCTATTGTTGTTAATATGTGTAGTTTGTAATAGTTCTCTCTCGTAAGCTGATTTATTGTTTTTATATGTTTTTTTAGTTGTATCAAGTGTTGATGTATTTTGTTAGTTGTATTGAAGTGTTGTAATAGATTCCGTGTGCTGCAATATCACTAGAGTAAAGTTTGTTTTGTTTTCTCACGTCTCTGATCTCTTCACTGTCTCTGCTTGCATACGGAACGAACCAACCTGCTGTCATTCCTGTCGCCGACTTCGCGCTGGCGACGCTAGAGTGGCAGCTTGTAACAACGAAGAATGGTTTGTTATATCTATTGTGAGAATATATTTGCTTCGTTAAAATTAGATTTTATATACATGGGTGTCCATGAGAATTTCTAGGAGAATTACAATTGCTTCGTTACATCCATTAGTTTGTTATATCCTACTTCATTAAAATGAGGCTCTACTGTACTCCTATTTGCCTTAGTGGCTCGACTGGTGAAAACTGGGGAGAAAATTAAAAAGAAAAGGATAAAATCTGGAGTCTTACGAGTCAAAACATGGTGTGGAAACCTGGATGAATTGTGTTAATAATGTAACGGGTGTTGACCGTTACATTTTACCTCATCAAAATACGGCTGCCATGGCAGGAATGAAACGGGTGGCCTCATGCCCACAATAATCATGATGGCAGGTACAAAAGCTTCTTTTTTTTTTTTGTAATAAAGTGCTACCAGATAAAAAAATAGATACAAAAAGTTTTTTAAACATGTGAATTGGATGCAAGACATCACTGTCATAAGCTGAACTATTAAAGTCATATGCTTCCTGGCAAGTACAGATGGTCACTTTTTTTTCGCAATAACAGACTGGAATAGCCAACAAGTGCACTGTTTCCAATATAAATATATGATTGAGTGAAAAAGATTACTGGTGAAAAAAAATAGAAGCTCTTTATTATTCGAGATTCGTTTCGTATTCGAAAATTTTGATATTCGCACACCCCTACTGAAGACCTCATTGTCGGCAGCACAAGTTGGACTTGCCAGGCGAGTTTCCGTGGACTCAGGGTTCATATACCCTGCACCTCCGCCAGATGTCACATAGCCAAAAACGACGCAAGGTTTATTAGAGCAAACTTGTGCTCTGCAATGGACTGAAAATGGTGAAAATAAGCGACAAAGAAGCAATCGACAGAGTGGCGTGCGTGTGTGGGCTTCGGCGAGGAAACGACTGCTGTGGTTTTCCGGCAAGCTTTTGTGCCATAAACACAGCTCTAGCGATGTAAGAGCTAGGAACTCTCCCTATTAAATCAAATAGCTTGCACGGCTACGAAAAAGAAAGATGAAAACACGCCCTCTGCTTTCAACATTTATAAGGCACTGTCAGACACCGGGAAATAAACACATAAAGCAAGAAAAGCATTGCTCAAAGCAATATGTTGGGTTTTCACGTATTTGCAGAAACATCTGATTTTTTATTCTAGTACGCTTCCCAAAGCGGTATTAAACAGTTGAAGTAGATGCTTCACTTTCTCCCCTTTTCATGAAATGTACTTTGCACCACAGTAAAGTGTACCTAAGCACCAACTTGCCCAAAAATAGTTCCTTTTCGGTGTGCCAGAATTTGCAGATGGGACTCTTGCTCAGTAATTTACAACACGCAAACAACTTGTGCCCTTTAACTCACAAACTGGTCGAAGTGCAGAAACCGTGCCAGGGGAAGGGGCAGTGCATCTGCGAAGTGGTGCACCAGCGTGACAAGGTAGTGCTCGAGCTCGGCCTGTCGCTGCTGCACGAAACTGGCCACCTGGCGACCCACGAGCTTGCCTGGTGGCAGCAGGCTTCGTTCCACATGGTAGTGGCGCCGAAGCTGCACGACACACCACACAAGCCCATCAGAAACAATGTCGGCTAAAAAACAATGACACCACACAAGCCCATCAGAAACAATGTCGGCTAAAAAACAATGTCGGCAGAAACAATGTCGGATTGTTCTTAGGTAAGCTCAATGATTCAGAAACATTGTGGCGAAACAGCGCTGAAACCTGCTTTTACCACATCCTGTGAACCCTTAGCTAAATTGAAAGCAATGCAGGCCAGCCAAGTCGCTCGATAGCGCTTGTGCAGTTTTTCTACATTAATTTGCCTGCCTATCTGTTCTCTGCCTTTGCAATAAAGAAATCGGTCGGTAGAGCTGTGTCCCATACATTTTCGCCTTTTCGTTTGCACTGTTTCGCCACAAAGATTGTCAGTGTTATACATTCCAAAAACACAATAGGAGATGCTGAATTGGAAGGCCCCAAAAATTTTAATCAGTTGAGGTTGTCTAATAATTCTGCAACTGATGACTAGTATAGTCACCATGATATTTTCTATTCACAATGACTATACTCATCAACAAAATTGTCATCGATATAACAAAGTTGCATCTTACACAAATAAGTTTTTTGAATTTGAAAATTCGTAATAAAGGTTTATTCCTAACACTATCTATTTCAAGTCATTTTCATGGCATTTATTATTCTTACACAATAAAATGTTATTATATTTTATTGCAAGATTATTTTTCATTTGCTTTGTTACAACCGATATTTCGTTATATCCATGTTTGTTATATTGAGGTTTGAGTTTATATCCGCTGTCACTCGGTTTTTCAATGAGAGATGGCTCCACTTGTCTATAATTTTCCAATCATGATTCTTCCCCCTCCTCCTGCTGTATCTTGCCTTTCATTGCGTTGCCGCCTCTGATACCACGAGCGCAATATTATTTTCATGCAATTAGAAAAATGAAGACACATTATTTCTTAGAAATAATGAAGAAAGAAAAAGAAAAGGGCTCTATAGAGTGCGTGAGAGAACTTTTGGCACATCTGATTTCGGGTGCATTTGTCTTCTTTCCTATCGGTCGCGTTAACCTGCACCTAAATTCAAGCCCACCTGCCTTTAGCCTTCCACCTCCATCGAAATGTCGCAGCGACGGCCAGCATTTCATTTGGGTCAAAAGTCTAGCACTAAAACTAATCACACGCCAAACTATGCCGGACACATTGAGTGCAGAAGATGTGTTACAAGGCCAGCAGAAGACAATGGGGCACTATTACACACTTCAGAGGCTGAATATGTACTCAAGGCATATGGGATGAATCAAGCTTCTTTCAGAACACACAGCCTGCTGGCTGCAAACTCCTGCCTCAGCTAGCATCTACAAGTGACATCGCTTTGCTTATACACTCCGTGCATGGCGACTGTGATTGGCACTTTCCAAGATGAAGCCAAAAACGAAACGGGGCTGCGGCGTCCTCTCTGGCTGAAATCCTAGCAAGTTCTCTTTCTCACCCACGCCTCAAACTCTTAGCATAGTTGCCCGAAGCAGTCAGGTGAAGACCATGATTACGATGAGCGAGAATGATGCTGCGACAATTTCAAGCAGAATTATTCACGAGACTCGATGGCTGAAAATCGCTGTGGCACGAAGCCACAACAGAATGACAAGCCGCCGGCCACTCACCATCCACCGATATTTTTAAATGCTCTGAGCGTCTTGTAAGCACTCGGGTAGTGGGCACGCAGGAATAGTATTCTAAGTGTGAAAAAACGACAACTTACTGCGACAGTTATGAAGGAAGCGTGTTGCATTATACATACCTGACGCGCACAGTTGCCGTCAGTATACTGGTGACGGGCAGCAAGGCGCTGACTAATATGCAAAACGTGGCCACTTTCGTGCAGGTTTTCCCAATTATTCATTGTGGCATTGCAGAAGAATGTCTTCCTACGATATCTTAAAATCCTGCTCGAAGAACCAACGTACCGGCCATAGGCGCTTTTGATATGTGGGTTTTAACGTCCCAAAACCAACACATGATTATGAGAAACGCTGTAGTGGAGGGCTCCGAAAATTTCGTCCACTTGGTGTTCTTCAACGTGCACCCTAACCTAAGCACACAGGCCTACAGCCTTTTCGCCTCCATCGAAAATGCAGCCGCCGCAGCTGGGATTCAATTTTGCGACCTGCGAGTCAGTAGCCAAGTACGTTAGCCACTAGACCACCACGGTGTGGTACGGCACTTTTGCCACCATAGCTGTCAAAGAAATGAGGAACTGCTATGTGCTATATGATTCTGATTACGGAGTTAGACAAGGAGAGCAGAAAGGTGGGTCTTAAAATGAATCTGCAGAAAACGAAAGTAATGTGCAACAACCTCGGAAAAGAGCAGCGCTTCGAGATAGGTAATAGTGCACTTCAAGTTGTAAAAGACTATGTTTACTTAGGGCAGGTAATAACCGCGGAGTCAAACCACGAGATTGAAGTAACTAGAAGAATAAGAATGGGGTGGAGCACATTTGGCAAGCACTCTCAAATTATGACAGGTACATTGCCACTATCCCTCAAGAGGAAGGTATATAACAGCTGTATTTTGCCGGTACTTAGCTACGGAGCAGAAACCTGGAGACTTACAAAGAGGGTTCAGCTTAAATTGAGGACGACGCAGGGAGCAATAGCAATGAAAAGAAAAATGGTAGGTGTAACCTTGAGAGACAAGAAGAGAGCAGAGTGGTTTAGGGAACAAACGGGAGTTAAGGATATCATAGCTGAAATCAAGAAGAAGAAATGGACATGGGCCGGGCATGTAGCACGTAGACAGGATAATCGATGGTCGTTAAGGGTAACTAACTGAATTCCCAGAGAAGGCAAGCGGGTTAGGGGGAGACAGAAGGTTAGGTGGGCAGATGAGATTAAGAAGCTTGCAGGTATAAATTGCCAGCAGCAAGCACAGGACTGGATTAACTGGCGGAACATGGGAGAGGCCTTTGTCCTGCAGTGGACGTAGTCAGGCTGCTGCTGCTGATGCTGATGATGATGATGATGATGATATGATTCTCAACGTTGCGCGCCCTCTGAACCACAAGTGAGGCTGCACGCGGCTTTCAAAGTGCCCCCTATGGGTCCCAATCAGAATGTACAACAGGGAAAAAAAAGACTGTGCGAAATTCAGACAGGACACACAAGATGAAGAAATCCTAACAACAGCACTCACAACCAGTGCTGGGCAGTATTGAAGATCACATCACATCACATCGCTTTATTTCCTTAAAGACCCCTCAAGGGTGTATTAGTTAAAGGGCCACTCGCCAAGTTTGACAATTTTGAGCTGACAAGCGCAATTCGTATACGAGGCGTTCCTAATCACGTCTGCCAAAATTTGCAATTTGCAATTGCCAAATTTGCAATTGCTTTGCGCCGTGGAAATGGGTCAAATTTCAAGATGAACGCTGCTCCCCCTCCCTTCTGCGGGCGTGCACCCATAGAATGAGGGCATGACGTGCACGTATGAATGGCCCTATGTACATGGCAATGCAGTGACGTTGGTCCTCTACGTAGAAGACTCTGCTCTGACATTACAAACAGTGGCATGTGACATGGCAAAAATTATTTAACACGGCATGAATACTTATGTGATTTGTTGCTTGAAAAGATTAATAAAACTATAAATAAATAATGAGATGCAATAAGGGAATGTGAGCATCTTTTTTCTTTTTTTCTCCCGTGAATTGCAACGAGATGCGTTGCTAATGTGTCTGCGTTTCATATGCGTTTGCATCCCCATGATCAGCGCACTGAACAGACGACCGCCGTGGAACGCTCCTACGCGTTCGCACACTCCTTGCGCTCATCTATTCTACCAGATCTAAGCCAGCATTTTCAAACCATCTCGCAGAAACAGGCAGGGATAACTACAGCATCATCCTTGAGAGGATTGACTTGGTCCTCTTCATTAACCTCCTTAAGCGCTAACCTATTTGCAATTTCTCGGATTTCCAAGATAGCTGCGCTAATCTCAGACAACAGTTGGTGACAAGCATTCAATTTCTTCTATTAGAGACGATTCAGTCACATTGACAGTGTTGCCAAGGCCACGATGCTTGCTCGGTCTATTGTGTAACTGCTTGCATCTGAATAGGCTACTGTAACGGAGAGTCGAATCTTGGTCTCTTTCCGACTCGGAGTCTGAGACAGAGTTAAAGAGTGAATTGCTTCAGAAAGTACTGAAAGAGCAAATGAAGACAAATAAGACTCTGGCTTCACTGATTACCAATTTGAAACAGGCAGAATCAGCAGTCGAAAATATTCAAACCAGGATTACCAATAGACAAAGAACTGCACTGAATTGAGAAGTATGTGTGAGAAGGGATTGGAGAAACTAAATGAAGCTTGTAGCAGCACAAACTAAATCTCAAGTTAGCTGGAAAGGTAGATGGCCTCGAATATAGAAGAAGTCACAACAACATTGTAGTTAACGGAGTAAAGGAAGATCAAGGAGGGAACACAGAAGAACTGGACCGAAAAGTTGACAATTTTTTTTAACTCTAGGTGTTGAGATGAACTCCATAGACTGTATCCACTGAACTGGCCCAAAACATGCATAGTGACATCATCCTACCATTTTGAGATTTTTCAGCAACATGGACAAAACTAAGGTCATGTCAGCCTGCTTCAAATGAAAGGGCAGAGATAAAGCTATATCAAAAGACTTTTCAAAAAAATTTTGGGACATTTGTTCAAAGTTATGGCGCTCAACCGCTGAAGAAAGAAGCAATAGTTTTAAGGTTTCTCTTCGATTTGATAAACGCTGTACATGTGGGACGCAATGCGCAATTGAAGAGAGGAGTTGTCGAAATTCATTGCGCCTGCACAACCCAAATAGTCCTCTTATCGTTCCACACATGAACACGCGTAAACAAGATAACAAATGACGAGAATCCACCAGATGCACCAGCTTGTTTTTCTGAGTGCAAGCAGCATACTGAATAAGATACAGAGCCTTGAAGATATAACTGACTTGCAAACCGCATGTCACAGGGATCATGGAAACCTGGACGCATTCTGGTGTTCAAAATTCAGAAATAGTGCCCCTTTCTTACATGCTCATATGCATACAGAGGGTCTAAATGGTGGCAGAGTAGCGATAGCAATTAAAAATAACATTAAATTCACACACTTGAATGACATCAGTGATACAAAAGCATATAGGACAAATTAAAAGATTTTTGGCAAAAAACTACATTATACTGGCAGGTGTCTGTTGTCCTCCAAATGCCCCTACAAAATACTTAGGTTCATTATATAGTTATTTGCTGGAAAGTCAAATTCGCATTCGAAGATCTTTGTAACAGGCAATTTTAACCTCCGACAATAACTGGTGCAGTGCCTTTCTCGTGATGATGAAGATGTTAAAAGTGCTGAATACTTACTGACTGCATTTACATTTTTCCTAACCCAGTAGGTTTCTAATGCCACAATATTTCCTGTTCTTCCTTACGTGATGTAGCATTTGCAAGCGACTCGCTTCCAGATTGCTCCGTCAGTGTTAGAGATGGCATATATAATGATTAGTTACTTGTTCTAGAGTGTCTGATTTTGTCCCTCGGATCCTATGTTGAACCTTCCTTAGTGAGAGACTATACACATGTGAATGATGATGAAATTATTGGTTGCATGAAATTCTTATTCCCTTCCTTTACTGTGTAAAATTACGTTAATGAGCTGTGGTCAAGGTTTAAAGACATGGTCATTCATTGTGAAAACATGTATGTTTCCTTTAAAAAAAGAAGTATCAACAAAAAATACCTGTGGATGGACCGTAATCTTATAGATCTGAAATGCAAGATAAGAAATGATTTCAAAAATGTTCTGATAGGAAGTAACTTTTGAATTTGGTCACACTCAGGATAAAATGCATGCTGCAAGAGACCAGTTCTTTTCTTGCACTTTAACTTCTTTCATGACGGAGCCACCAAGAAAATGCTGGTGATATCTATCTAAAGATAAAAGTGGGATCACTGAGACCTGACGTAAGCATTCATGATCCTTTTACTATTGCCAACAAATTCAATGCATTCTTTTAGTCCATTTCTACTTTGAAAGCATCGCACGTACACTTACAACCTCATAAGCTTCATCATCCAAAGCCTGAAATAAATTTAATCAAGAACGGCATTTTCAGCCTTTTGCATAATTCAGACAAAAAATCACCAAATGAAGACAAAATATGGAATGTTTTTCTCAACACCTATGCACTCTGAGTAGCAGAGTACTCATAATTTATAAAAGGTTGTTAGAATCCTGTGCGATACCTGATGACTCGCGCTCTGTGAGAACAGTTCCATTTCACAAGTCCCAGCTCCCCTTTAGAATTAAATAATTACAGGCGAGCTTCTTTAACATCTACAGCTTGTAAACTGCTAGAACATATTTTATCTAAAGCAATTATGACACATCTAGAGGATAATAATTTATTTCATGAAATTCAACATGGATTTAGTGCTGGTTTATCTACAATAACACAGTTCACTGAGATAACAAATGATGTTTCAAGTGTATAATTATGAGATGTAAAATTGACTCTGTGTCTTTGGACTCTTCCAAAGCTCGGTCGAGCTGGGCGCAAGCTCGGATTGTTCAATGTGCCATTACTTTTGTTTAAACGGCTTGAAGACATCCATGCGCATTTTACTACACAGAGTATCCATTCCTGGTTAGTGTGATATGCTGATTTGCTTTACAACTCTCACAATTCATAAATAAAAGTTGCTCCTAACAATATAAATAAAATACTTGACATTTTAAAACAGCAAGCTTTACCGGAAAAGTAATTGCATATTTGACATCAGAACATGATACATAAGCTGTTAAACTTTTATCAATATCTACTCAAAAATTAAGAAATATGCATATGAAGCGTGGTCTGCCCTTTTCAGGGAAGTCGGTGCAGAGCATTTGTACACGCGACCTTTACCACAAGGATATTACAGCCAGCATTACAGCTGCTTTCCCAACTGTGTTGCCTGTCTGCAGTGTGGCACCCACCTTGCTGTGGAGTTCCTTGAAGTCACTGTACCTGTGCTTGGCCACCCAGGAGTGAGGGGCTATGGTTACCTGGACACGATACACCTGCACACCCCACAAAACCAAACAGTTATGCAAAACAGTGCCAGCTTGGCCTGCTGTTGGACTCACAATGACAATACGGCATGACGATTTTGTACACTGTTCAAGGAACTTAAAACAGTGTTTTTTTGATCCACCAGTGTTGCGCATTAGCCCTTTTACCTGATGACCCTCTAATACGTGCTTTTTGCCGCCGGCCTTCTTGGCAACTGATGCATCAACAACCAAAGTTCGATTCTCGTGTATCACTGTCGAGAATGAAGGCGCAAATCATTTCTAGATAACACCATCCTGTTATATCAGGACTCAGACATTGACTCTACACTGATTGCAGAGCCCGCTGAGATCAAGAGTGAGAGAGGAATGTTTATTGTTACAAAAAAGCTGGGAGGCTGGCCTGAATCCATGTTCTAGCCTGCTACTCAGCATTAGGAAAGGGGAGGGGCTAGAAAAGAAAGTAGAGAGAGATGTTGTTGAGGAAGGTGGCGATGAAGCAAGACCGTGGATCGATTTATAGTCTCTTGTTGAGTTGTGTATCTTTTAAAAACTTGGTCAGTGCTTTCAGAATATCGCGCTACTTTCTGAGCAACGCTGCAGCTCAGAAACTTGCTGCTTGGTACATTTCATCATGGCGGTGGCCATCAAATTTCTTTGATAAATATATCGCGGGCAGATGCACAAGATTTGTTCAGTTGTCTCAGAGGTGCCACAGGCCTCACAATCGAGACAGTCTGCATGGCTAATAACGTAACGAGAAGTAAACACCACACCTATTCGTAACCAGTGCAATAAGCTTCCACTGCACTTTTTCATGGTTGGGGGTAATTTAACATGCATATCAGGGTTGAGTTTGTGAAGACGGCAGTGATGACGACTAGGAGAGGACCAATATGCTACTGTAGTTTGTTGGGGGAGAGTATACACAACAGAGTTAGCATCCGGTCATGAAAACGGAATAGTCAATATTGTGGGGTTATCGTGAGCCATGTCTGCCTCCGCATCGGCTTGCTCATTTCCATGTAGCCCACAGAGTCCTGGAATCCACTGATACCGTATACGATGGCCACTTTTAAAGGCTACAACGTGCGATTCAACCACTTCTTGAGCAAGGAGACGATAAAGCCCCCATTAAGGCACCGAATTTATGACCTGAAGTGCTGGTTTTGAATGACGAAATACAGTACAGCTGCAAGGAGGCTGCATTAATATATAACGAATTGCCTCGTGGATGGCCATAATCTCTGTCACTAATGAAAAGGGATGATTTAATTGTGCTCCCTGAATTGCCTTCAGAAGCAAGAAACTTCACTTTTTGGAGTGTGCGTGAGGCAGTCATGTAATGCATGCCTTGGCAGTTTTGCAGACGCTATTGGCGTGATGCCCAACAAAGTCTTGCCTTGGACCCTATCCGGAGCATAAGCTCCGGACATATGTTGGCATGAACAAACTCTGCATAGTGATAGCATGACTTTCTTTTATTGTTCTTTTAATCTTCTCTAGTTTATGCTTTTTCTTTCTGGGGGCTGCACCTATATATTTGGCGTTCACTTTTATTGAAATTTCAATTGAAAGTAGTGCTTGTCCTGTGTCCTTCGCTCATCTTACACACCTGCCTTTAGCACTTACAAATGTTATAAAATTTAATGACAGTGATGCTCACACAGCTAAGTGCCAAGCCTTTTTGAACAAATGCAAGAGAGTGAAACCTCATGGCGGCAAATGTGCAAGTGAAACCTGCTAAACCCTTTGCCTAAAAAAAAGCTCACACCTGCTTGAGTCTAGCAACAACTGCTTAGAGCGACAACTTTGAGCGTCGGACTTTTCAAAAAAAAAAAAAAACTTTTGCAGATAGCCAAATTTGTTTACTACTGTTCTTGAGTATACAAAATGCGTAAACTGAGGAAAGAAATTATACAAAATGGCAGAACAATATTTTGCTATCATTACCCCTCTGAAGTGCATACAGTACAATGGTATTTCAGAGGAATGGTACTGCTTGAAACAGAGGTCAGAGCACAGCACCTTATTGCGGTCTGCACACATGAAACACGTTTATGTTCTTCTCTTGCATTGAAATATTGGGTAGCCACACACACACACAGAGCACCTTCTCTGCATGCCTTGGGCAGAGTAAACTTTGTAATTAACAATAATAAGGAGACCTCGTGAGTGTTCGTGATAAGCGTGCTAAGAAAACTGCCAATAAAGATACAAATCAGCTTCTCCTACGAGGAGGTCCAATAAAGATTCCATTTCCACCATGTGGTGAAACTGAAACCACGAAAGGGCATTGCCCATCGGCATTGCTGCCGACCGTGTAATAATGCACTGCCGCTAGAGATCGGTTATATTGATGACTACATGAAGGTAGCATAAACATTTCTAATGCTTCCTGCAAGTCCACGGAGGTGGCAGCACTTTCCAGTGAGCAAGCATGTTAATATAGTCTGAATTTTCAAGCATAAGGTGTAAACGTACCCAGCTATGGGACAGATGATGATGATGATGTGTGGCGCTTTATGGCGCAAAGGCCAATCGATGGCCAAAGAGCACCATTTCAATCAGTAGAGATGTGAACAATGATATGTTGCGTGGCTGTATAGGGGCCTTAAAATTCCTCGCGATAATGCGGGTAAAAACATAAGTATTAAAATCATGACAGTGGCATGGATATGCATAGTAAAAAAGGGTGAGAAAGGTTTTGATAATAAAAACATGTAAAAATATTTGGCACTAGCACAAGTGCCTCATCAGCGCCCTTGTGTCCAAGGGCCGTGAGGCAAGTGCTTTTTTATGTAGCCACCGCAGCAAAAACCTCTCTGCAGAGGTCGTGCTACGGAATGCCTGGGTATATGATATGAAAACTATGAATTTCTTTTAAAAACGCTAACAATGATTTATGACTAAAAAGCGGTTCCCTACCGACGAACATTGCAGGGTGTAAAGGTATATGTTGTCGGTAGGGTAATGAAAAATGTTGTTTTCTTAGAGTTTCTAACTCTTTGCACTGGATTAACATGTGTAGGACCGTTAATGCTTCACCACATCTGTCACACAATGGTGGATCGCCACCGGACAAAAGATATGTGTGTGTCGTGTATGTGTGTACTATCCTGAGCCTCGTTAGTATTAGCTCTGTATGACGCGATTTTGATACTGGCAGCCAATGAACAAGGTGTGGCTTAATAATGTGTAGTTTGTTTTGTGTGTGTCTATCCCACTTGCTCTGCCAGTAGTCCCTGAGCTTTCGTTTGAGAAACGGCTTAAGATCAAGGGCTGGGATTGATATGGGTGTTGTGGCAGTGCTTTCGTGGATGGATGCAGCAAGCTGATCCGCCATCACGTTGCCTTGGATCTCACGGTGCCCTGGCACCCAGCACACTACAACATGTTGTTGAGTGAGTAGAGTGTGCATAAAGTGGAGTAAAGTGAAACGAGGACAGGGTTTTTTTGTTTTTTAAGATTTTGCAGAGCCGTAACCACACTGAGGGAGTCCGTATAAATAACTGCTTTCTGTATTTGTAGTTGTTTGATGTGTTTAGCAGGCACAAGTATCTCGTAAGCCTCCACTGTGAAGATACTTGTGCCTGGATGCAGAGGGCCAGCATCCGAAAAGGATGGGCCCACAGCAGCATAGGACACAGAGGAGTTAGACTTATACCCCTGTCACACGGGCACCCGTGAAGACCGTTTAACTTCCTCGTCTTTACGACAACGAGGATGCGGTTGGTGTCACACGACCAACCTTACGCAAACGAAGGTGAACGGAGCATTTCGCAAAGGACGTTCAACGATCTTCCCTCGCAGCGGAACGAGGTACTCTCGTCCTCAGCAGTCTAGAGGTCAGAGAAAAATTTCGAGCGCTAAGTCGCCGCAGTGAAAGAATAATACATTTTAGCAATATTAAACGTTCTTTTGTTGTAGTACTCATTCACAACGCGTGTTTGTTTACAATATTTATGCCCGCCAGAGTTCACTTACTCTCAACACCGATGTCCTACACACCGTGCCTCGCAAGTCGGGCCGGTCAGCGCCAGCCGATCAACGTCATTACCAGCGCAATATCGCACCACTTCCTCACGTCGTCCGCTGTGTCACCCATGGCTGAAGAACACAAAATGTGCGCTCACGAGGCAAGGAAGCATAAGAACTTTCGTACCGGGCATGTACACAGGCAACAAAACAACTAAAAGCACAATGTGGCCAGCGTCACTAGCAGCATTGCTACAATTAGCAAATGCGTTTTTATTTGAAATTATTTTTAGTTGTTTGTCAGTCACATACCATCTTTATAGTGCTTTTTTGTAAAAACCGCATAACGAGGATTCACAAAAAAATCAATAGGGATCAAATTAGAATACTTTTCCGAAAATCAAACAGCGCCAGCTGAGCCCCCTCGCGGCAACTGTTACAACCTTGTCATTGCCGTGTGACACTGCCACAACTCCTTCTCCGTCGAACCCCTTAGGGGAGATTTACGTTGACGGTGTTCAACGAAGTTTGGTGGTGGCCGTGTGACAGGGGTATTAGAAGCATCTGTAAAGAACTCAGGACGTGTGTATTTGTGTTGAAGTTCCAGGAAGTATGTTCGGATATGGGCAATAGGCGCATGTTTTGTAACTTCTAGGAAAGACACATCGCAGTCTATAGTCTGCCACTGCCACGATGGCGGGTATGCTACTGGAGCCATTAAACTGTGCTCAAGTGACACTCCATTTTCTTCAGCTAGACACTTCAGGCGTACTGAGAAGGGCTGCCTCATCGAAGGCCTGTTTTGAAACAGAATGGAGCTCGACAAATCATTAATAGTAGAGTATGAGGGGTGTTTATTGTCTGCTTTCACCTTAAGAAAATATACAAAGGACACGTAAGTTCTTTGTAGATGAAACAACGATTCACTCGACTCAACGTAAAGGCTTTCTACGGGGCTGGTGCGAAAAGCACCCATAGAAAGGCGGATGCCGAAATGGTGCACGGGATCCAGCATCTTCAAAGCACTTTGA